TGTAACACTATTCAATGTCTCTCTTCTGACTCATGCTTTTTAACAAAATTCCCTCTAGTTCATTTATATCATCAAAAAAGATAAGGCATTTTCATTGTATGGTAACCAGGTCTATAGCAATAGCTTTCTATACAACAAGTTTCTAAAAGTTTTCACTTTGAATGGGAATTCAAAGATAAAAATGTAGAGCCTTCTACATTTTTGAAAAGAAAAATGTATTAAAATAATTAACTTTTTTTTTTTTTGCTTTTTGGATCACACCCAGAGATACACAGGGGTTACTCCTGGCTCTGCACTCAGAAATTACTCCTGGTGGTGCTCAGGGGACTATATGGGATGCTGGGAATTGAACCCAGGTCAACAGCATGCAAGGCAAATGCCCTACCCCGTGCTATCTCTCCAGACCCTCAATAATTAACTATTTAATGTAGAAGAATGTATGGAAACTTTACCCTTTATAAAAGAAAAAGGTGTGCGAAAACTGATATATATCATAATATATATCAGTTTCATATATATTCTTATATATGACAAGACATAATTTATATAGGAGTTTGTACATATTTCAATGTATCAAAACATTTTATATAAAATATATTTTATATATTCTATGCAAAATATATTTATATATTTACAATGTATATATTTACAATGTATATTTATATACATTGTAAATATTTATGACAAAGCATATAGATACATGTATCCTATATATGTATACTTATATAAACATATATACTATATATATACATGTATTCTGTATATAATGTTAACCAAAGTTAACATTTATTGTTGAAGCCCCACACAGTCCAGGAAGGGGTTTCCCAAGCCCCCTCCTCCCCCAAGTCCCCCGACAGTGCTGCGTTGGTGCTGACCCAGTCAGGGCATTTGAGATTCCCCGCAAGCTGAAAACATGTCTCCATGTCGTCTCCCTGGGGCTCAGGACTGGGCAGGGGCACAGGGCAGTGCCCATAACATGCTCACGGTCAGCTAAGAGGAGAAGCTTCCTCAGGAATCCGCGAAGGAAGGTCCTGGCAGCTGCCATTTTGCCATCACCCTGCTGGAGCCTGGGGGTGTTGCTCAGGCCTGCCACCGAGCCTAGGGAATTCTTGGGTAGTGTGTCAATGTCACCTGATAACAGGGATCTGGTCCTGTGGTGAGTCTCCAGGGCTCGATAAGATGGGCATTCCCCAGGGCTGCCTCCTCCTGGGGATTCATTGTAGCTGCCAGGGGAGAATACAAACACACACACACACACACACACACACACACACACACACACACTATCTCTCTCTCTCTCTCTCTCAATCACACATATATGTAGACATATACTTACATACGTACATACATATACATAGATTCATATATATGTGTGTGTACACACTCACACACAAATACACATAAACACACAAATATGTTTTGTTAAGGCAAAACTCTGTATAAAGTGAGACTTCTTAATACCAAAACCACGTTTAAAGTTTCAGGGTTCATGTTTCTCTGGTAAAAAATAATCCATGTGAAAAAGCAGACTCATAGTCTAGATATATTTTCCCTTTTTAAAAATCGCTGGAGTGATAGCACAGCGGGTAGGGCATTCGCCTTACAAGCGGCCAACATGGCCGACCCGAGTTCGATTCCTCCGCCCCTCTCGGAGAGCCCGGCAAGCTACCGAGAGTATTCGATATGCCAGACACAGTAACAACAAAGTCTCCAATGGAGACGTTACTGGGCCCGCTCGAGCAAATCAACGATCAACGGGAGGGCCTTTACTTTACTTTACTTTTAAAAATATTCTTGGGACTGGAGAGACAGCACAGCAGGTAGGACGTTTGCCTTCCAAGCAGCCAAACCAAGTTTGATTCCCAGCATTCCATATGGTCCCCTGAGCACCACCAGGGCTAATTCCTGAGTGCATGAGCCAGGAGTAACCCCAGCATATCAACAGATCACCGGGTGTGCCCCCAAAAAGTATATATATATATACTGTATATATATTATATATAGTTTTGTATATATGTATAGCACAGCGGGTAGGGCGTTTGCCTTGCACGCAGCCAACATGGCCGACCCGAGTTCGATTCCTCCGCCCCTCTCGGAGAGCCCGGCAAGCTACCGAGAGTATTCGATATGCCAGACACAGTAACAACAAAGTCTCTAATGGAGACGTTACTGGGCCCGCTCGAGCAAATCGACGATCAACGGGAGGGCCTTTACCTTTACCTATTATATATAATATATATAGTAAGTATATATATTATATATAGTTTTGACACATTATGACAACAAACTATCTGTGAGTGATATGTAACAAACTGTCCTTATGAAAATAATATCACATCTTATTTTTACCCAGGTAGGGCTGGAGCAATAGCACAGTGGGTAGGGTGTTTGCCATGCACGCAGCCAACATGGCAGACCTGAGTTCGATTCCTCCGCCCCTCTCAGAGAGCCTGGCAAGCTACAAGAGTATCTCGCCCTCACCGCAAAGCCTGGCAAGCTACCTGTGACGTATTCAATATGCCAAACACAGTAACAACAAGTCTCACAATGGAGATGTTACTGGGCCCGCTCGAGCAAATCGATGAATAATGGGAGGACCATGACCAGACCGTGACCAATTTTTATCCAGGTACTGATTTAACCATGTCCTACTCACTGGCCTAAACATCTGGTTTGGTCTCAAAAGAGTAACTATTTAAAGTGAACTCTCTTTTTTATGCCTATGAGACCTCATTATAGTTCTCCAGTTATCTAACACTATATGCAATATTATAATTCAGAAATGGAACCCCAAGGGGCATCAGACATTCTAATTAAATATACCTTTAGTCACAGACATTTAGATTGCAGGAAAGATCGGATGAGTTATAGCTGCCAGACCTTGGGTAAGTTGGTTACTTTTGACTGAGTTATATGTTATAGCTTTACAGTCAAACTATAGAACATATGCCCAGTAGTCAAAGAAGTGGCTTAGGATTAGGTTCCAAACATAGCATGGAATTGTATATGGACTCTCATCAGTTAATCAGTTATTGGAGAATATTACCTAATTGGGGGCCACTAGTAGGATTTATCAACATTACAAAGAAATTTGCAACTTTCAAGTACTGAAAAATGGTCTTGAGTTTTCTACTCTTGCGAATGATCTTCTATTAACCAGTTTCTGCATACTTAATGGGATCAAGTTTTCCCTTGGTCATTAATATGTATATTTTGGAGAGACGTTAGCAAATTCATATATAAAATATTGTGGGGCTTGTGATTTAATTATTTATTTTTTATTACAAAGCTTTCTAGATGTTGCAGTGCTGAGAATCAGTCAGACAGAGCCTAACTCATGGAAAGCAGGCATGCTAACACTGACCTACATCCTAGCTTTCATCACAGATTTTAAGTGCTGTTCTAACAATAAGAATAATTAGTAACAATATATGCTACTTTTACAAAACATTATTTTATATTAGCTTGATTATAATAACACCTACCCTTATATGACTGCCATATAGATTACAAAAACCATTTGTCTTTTCCTAATTCCATACTTAGTCACTTTGTGTAAGTGGCTTGAAAAGAGATAGTGAGAATATTTGCACTTTGATAACTAAAAGAAAACTTTCAATTGGCATCACAAATCAGCATTATTGCAACATATTGTGAAAGCAGTTGACATTCATGGCAAAATGCTGATTTCTATTTTTACATTTTCTATTTTAGAAAAGTTAAAGCTTCTCTTTAAGTTGTATTCAATAGACTTTTTTAGGGTTATCTACCATGTGTTACCTATTTGAATTAACAAGTGAATAATCTTTTCTTTCCTAAATGTTGTTCCCTAATGAAAGGTCCAATTTAATTTATTCAACCGAAACATAAAATGTGTATATGAAGGCAACACTTTACTATGTTTAAGATTAAAAATAATATTAAATGGATTATGATTAATTTATTGTCGATTAAATAGATTGTAGAGACTTTTCACACTTCAAAGCTATAATTTCATAACACAAGACTTTACCCAAAAATCTACTCCTCGGAAAATCCAATAATATCTTTCCACTAAATAGACTGGTTGATACATATCATGATGAATTTTATAAACAAAGAATACTTTATATTTATTCGTTTCTTCATTGTGTAATGGAGGAGAGGAAATTTTTTTTCTCAATTTTTCTGATTCTTTAAAAGTTAACTAAACATTCACATTAATAACAGACAAACAAAAATGTCTAAAAACTAATATAAACATTCAGGAATCTGACAGTATTTATGGACCCTAAGGCAATGAGGCAAAAAGAAGAATATATATATATATATATATATATATATATATATATATATCTTAAAGTGGCAGAGGTAAAGGACTTACATGTTATGTATGACAAAAATTAGATGATTAATAAATATTTCCTTGCCACAGAGGTTTCTTTGATAGAGCATTCTTTGTAATAATCATAATTCTGAGTAAGACACAAATTTTCATTTCTTTTAAATTTTTTGATAGTTAAGGGAATTCTAAATTTTTCTTCTGAGTCTATACTACCTTTATTGACATCAGCTTGAAATAAGAAAAATTTTGATTCAGTCGTGAGAGTCTTAATTCTAAGATGAGTTGAAATATTCACTATATTATTTTAACATACTAGAGTAAGCTGAAATCTCTTTTATAGTTAGAATATTTATCCTGCCATACCTATTGCTAGGTTTGTATTGTATATGCAAGATTTCATACATTTATTCAAAACAATCTCCTATTCTTCACAATACCCCAGATTCCTGAAAGGCTGGAATTTCTGCCGGAAGGAAGCAAACAGCATCTCAAAAGCAAGTAGAATTAAAATTTAGGGTGGCATCTGGATCTGTGAGGACTATTTTTCCAATATGGTCACCATAAAATAAGCATGATTCAAATCTAATTCCAAGAAGTGGAAAACTATCCACGTGGCTATTCTGGAGATAACAATGCTCTTGAGGGAGTAATTTTTCACAGCCTGACATACTTCTACACGTATCCAATGGCCAAAGTCAATAATTCACAAGTGACAGAATTTATCCTCTTGGGACTCACAGACAGTCCAGAGCTCCAATTCCTTCTTTTTGGGGCCTTCCTTGTGATATACTTAATCAGTTTCCTGGGCAATATTGGATTGATTGTGCTAATCCACATCAGTCCTCAGCTTCATACTCCCATGTATTTTTTCCTCAGCCATCTGGCTTTTGTGGATTTTTGTTATACCTCCTCAGTCACCCCTAACACAATGGTGAACTTCCTCCAAGAAATTAAAACAATATCCTTTCCTGCTTGTGCTATACAGTTATTTTGCTTTATCATGTTTGTGGTTTGTGAAGTGTATATGCTATCAGCCATGGCTTATGACCGATATGTGGCTATCTGCAGCCCTTTGCTCTATACAATTCGCATGAATAGAAGGGTCTGTACTCAAATGGTGATTTGTACATACTTCTATGGCTTCTCTGTGGGACTCCTACAGGCAGTTCTTACGTTCCATTTGTCTTTCTGTAAGTCAAATATAATAAACCACTTTTATTGTGATGACATTCCATTGCTTGAGATAGCCTGTCATAAAATCTATTACAAAGATATAAAGGAGCTGATATTGTTCACATTTGCTGCTTTTAATACCCTTTTCTCTCTTTTCATTATCCTCATTTCCTATATATTCATTCTAATTGCCATTTTGAGGATTAATTCAAGAGTAGGCAGACAAAAAGCCTTTTCAACTTGTGCTTCCCACCTGACCTCCATCTCTGTATTTTATGGCACAATCATCTTCATGTATTTGCAGCCCAAAAAGAGCAATCCACAGGATACTGACAAAATAGCATCTGTCTTCTATGTCGTGGTAATTCCCATGCTAAATCCTTTAATTTACAGCCTAAGAAATAAGGAAGTAAAAAATGCTTTGAAAAGAATTATGGAAAAGGTATGTTCTACTATAAAACAAACTTAAAATCCCTCAGTTTATAAAAGAAAAGAAAAAAGTAAATAAAAAGAGTTCAAGTATCTGCCTTAGGATACCATTAGTAAACTGATTTTAATATTAGATCATTTTTCATACATAGCATTCATTTCCTGATTTTTTCTATTATAAAAATTATATCACCTTCTAATAGCAAGAGGAATAAGAATGAAAAATTTTAATTTCACTGGATTGATTAAAGTGTTTCATAGATAATTAAAAATCAATCTTATTTTCAAGAGGGTTTTTGATTTGTATGCTCCAATTAATAAACCTTACATTGAAAAACTATATTATCAATCACTAAATCAGCACCAATATTTTAACAATGTCTATAACACATACATGTATGCAATCAATAATATTAATCTGAAAGGAATTGCTTATTTTAATAATCTGATAAGAATATTTCTATCAACACTGGTGGGTAACTATGTTTAAAAGGCTGAAATATTGGGCAAGTAATATAGCAGCTCAGTGGTAGAACCCCTGATTCACCTAAATGTTTTGTTCCCAATCCCTGAAAATTCCTTTACCCTCCACATCAAAAGAATAAAAGTAGAACACAGTTAGCAAATAAAAATAGTCTTTCACAAACAGTAGGTTAGAGAAAATGTTATATACTAATTCTCTGAGTGTCAAAACGAAATGTGGTCTCTTAAGAGACTGTCTTGGCTTTTAGTAAATCTACACTTACGTATATAAAGGTCAAGAAGCATCTTGTCTTGAATACTTTTACTAAACAGTCCATGACAAAATATATGGCAAAATGCTAATATTTGTGTAATGTGGGTGAAAGGAGTCAGGAATTACTTATGAAATACTAGCATCTTTTATGTGATTATGAAATTATGTCTGGTTCAGCCCCTATGGAAAGCAGCTTAAAGTGTTATCAAAAAAAGTAAGATTGAACTCCAATATGACCCAGTGAGTCCACTACTTGATATCTGTCCCTCCAAACACAAAAACAACCATATTGAAGGATATGTGCACAGCTCTCACATACATTCATTGCAACATTCAGAACAATAACCAGTGAATAAAACAACTCACACTTCCAACACAGGATGAAAGGATCAAGAAGTTATGGTATATACACTCAGTGGAATGCTATGCAGCTGAAAGATAAGATGAACATATGCAATTCACTGCAATAGGAGGATATTAAAGAGTATCCTGTGATGTGAAATAAGACAAAGGGAGAAGGAAAAATACTAGGTTATCTCACTCATCCATGGAACATAGAGAGACAAAATCAGACAAGAGACATTCCATAATGATAAACCCATGGCCTTAGAATAAAAGATTAATTACCAAATAGTGGGGATTAGGGAACAATACTAGAAAAGACATGATATAAGTACCGTGGTAGAGAGTCATGGACATATTGGTGGTAACAGTGTATATTAATACCATAAAGAATTTTAATATAAAAATGTCTAGTCTCATTTACATATATACATTTTAACTCTGGAAACTACTACATATTACATTAAATTTTATTTTACACTTTGATATCATTATGGCGATAATCATGTTTAATCTGTCATTAATAAAACTTTCAAAGTAATTCTGTGTTAATATATTTTGGAGTTTATATGGAATAGGCCTACATATATAAATTCCCCCTTACACTTTGTATAAGCACTGTGGTTTACAAAGTTGTTCATGATAATTTGTTATAGGTATTCAATATTCCAACAGCAATCCCAACACCATTAAGTACCTAAACTGTAATAAATAAAAATCATTTTAAAAAGTCAATTAAAATGTGTGAAGCATTTATTATTTAATGATTTAATCAGCCAAAATCTTTGGACTTCCCCTTTTCTCTGCTTTGGCTACTATACTCTTCAAGACAGCAAATAATTAAAGGCTTAACAAGAATAGAAGGGGAGTCTGTAGAACTGAGTTTACCTGGAGGGGTAGTGGGGAGGGTAGTGTCTTGGGACACTGATGGAGGGAAACAGGTACTCTGGTGATGGAAAAAAGCAAATAAAACAAGAGATTAGAATTTCTAAGGCAAAATAACATTCAGTAAGGCTTGACTTTTTAAATTTTATTTTCTAAAAGCAAGTGGTTGTATATGATTTGTCTACATATATATTTACAGATATAATATATATGTAATTATATTCTGACATTTAAGTGAAATGGGGATGAATAGTGTTTATAAGATTTAAGCAGAATATTCATTTCTCTGTGGAATGCATTTAGATATTTGGCAACAGATGTTAGGAAACAAAATGAAGTCAACATTAAATCAGTTTAGTCTTGAACAAATCTTTCAAACAATATCCTATGATTGAAATAAATATATAGCCAGATCAATAGAAAGTCATGATTTATTTTCTTGCAACTCAAAAGACTCTTGAGCTTCATATTGGGTTTGGATTTTAGTATGATCTAAAACAATGTTTGGCTGACTTGAAAAGTCCAATAGCAATAAAATTACCTTCATTTTGTGTACTGTGATATCTTACTAAAATTGAGAATGTAGCAATGTAGTAATCATATAAATGCAATAAAATATTACCAGGGAAATAATGCTTAATAAAAATAATAAAGCATTTGAATTATTTTTCTCAGATGTTTAATATTTACTGCTACTAATGACTTACTGTGTTCTTGGGTTTACCACAGTGACAGGATATTTCAAATTATTGTTAATTTCCAACTAGAAAAATTGAATCCCAAAAGATTAACTATACCATAATTGCTCTTGCTTAAGAGATTTTATTACTTTGTTTATAAATTACTTCAAATGATGCAACACAACTGAGTATTCTAGAAAGGTTAACAAAACACATGAAATATGTCCGTCCTACTTAAGTAATGTTAAGTTTGGTGAGCTTATTTCTTCCTTAAACTGATAATTAACCACACCTCCCCCCCACCACCACCTTTATAAATCTGTCAAGCTCTCTTCTCCAAAGCTACTCCATTGAATGAACACTGTTTGATTTTGCTATGGATTTCTGAAAGGCAGCATTTTGTGAAGGGAAAATCAAGATAACTGAGGTATAAAAGAAGTTTCAAATGCCATAAACTTTTGTAATTTATGCTGTTTTGTAATTTACACTGTTCTACCAGCATATTTGAAACCAGCTACATCTCACTAGGTTATAGAGTAAAACACAAGAAAAAAATAATTTCTTTGTTTCTCCATAATTTAAACTTTAGAATATGTAATAATTTTACAGGTGAGAGAATTATTGGAAATAACACCTGAAAAGTTACCTCTAGATGAAGACCTGAACCATAAATTCAAATAGTGGCCAACTAGAGAAGTGAAGACAAATATAGTGTCTTTCTGCCCAACCCGTCAAGAGTGGTCATTCTGATCATTTAAACTAAGAGTAGATCACTCCATGATGTCAGAAATCAAACCAGAGTTGGCTGCAAGTAAGGAAAACAACTTAACCATTCTACCGTCTCTATGGATAACTATTTATTTTTTAGATCATTACATAGATTGGATAACAAATCACTGATTTAGGAAATAAAAGTAAGTGATTATTTATGTTTGGTATATAGCATTGGTAATAACTCACTTTTATCTGGATAGTGTTCTTGGTAGTTGAGGAACAATTTCAGAATATGCATATTTTAGAATATCTGACAAGAAAATCCAACAGGAATCTTTTGGATGTTGAAGAGAATAGTTGCAAGGTCTTTATCAGAGGTGTATTAAAAAATATATCTTAAACTTTATTCAGTTGCACTGAATAAAGGATGTGACGATATATAAGGGATAATCAGTAAAGTTAAAAGAATAATGATATGCATGGGAAATTATAGTGTCATAACTGAGGTAAAGTGACAGAAGAAGGTTGTGGTAAGATGAAAGTTGTGGTAAAATGATGTTTCATTTTCTGTATTTTATGCCTGATTAATTTTCATGTGATATCATTTTCAATTGGATCTATGCAACAGAAAGCTCAAATGAAATGGTTGTGAGGTTGGCTGATACTCTGATCAATCAGAAAAGCCACATTATTACAAATGTGGTGTGATGTGCTAGGGTGACAACCTTAAGAGGCACTCAATGACAATGATGCCAGAATCTTCAAAGAACCAGAGGGTATGAGACGTGTGTATACTTGACAACAGTAACTGGTATAAGCCTCTAAGCATGAGGGGAGTTTACATAAATGAAAAATATAGCAACAGATAAGGAATAATGCTACAAGTTTATGTCTTCTCTCACTAAATTTGAAATGTTTGGCATGATTTAAATGGAGCAGCTTTGGAGAAGATAACAGATTTATAAAGGTGGTGGGGTGTGTGGTTAGGTATCAGTTTAATAAAGAACTAAATGAATCATTAAAGAGTTTGGAAGCATTAAAAAGGAGTTACAAAGACACCAACATCAAAGAAATATAAATCCTAGAAAGAAAGTGAGCCAGAGGAACAAAGTTTTGAGATCACAACTACTGAGTCGTGAAGTATCCTCAGCATCTCTGGGTATAGCCCAAAAACAAAAATAAAATAAAATAAAATAAAATTTGAGAATGTTCACTAATTCTAGAACTTTTTTATGGGTGTAAACGGCACATAAACTTCTTAAGGGATGGTACTATACTTCTGAAACTTACGTATTTTAGTGAAGTCATGGTAAGCCAATAAGTGGGAAAACAAAATTAGTCTTTTTCTGCTCAAATCAAACATTCTAAATGCTGCTCACTTTTTAGCCAATATGTGTTTGTATTTATACAAACTCAGCCTAGAATTTTTATTTTCTTTGCATTTAAAGTGTTTAAATATTTATGACATATTTTCTGAATATTTTTAATCCCGTTATGCCTATTTCCAAAAAAGTAAGATCATTCACATTCTAAAAGGAAGTTTTCTCCCCTTCCATTCGCAGTTATATATAAAATGAAAAGAAATTTCAGAATCATAGCAAGAGCACTAATTAAATTTTTTAATATTTCTAAATAATTGGTACTTAGAGAGATAGTGTAGCAGGCAGAGCACTTGCCCTGCATGAAGCTAGCTGGGATCTAATCCAGGGCATCCCATATTACCAAATGCTTACTCCTGAGCACAGAGCCAGGAGTAAACCAGGAGCACTTCTGGGTGTGGCTCCCAAAATTATTCTGAATAATTTAATTGTTCTAAAGTCTTTTAGTATTTAAAACTAGTTTTTGACTGCATATTTACTTCTTCTGATATTTTAATTCTTAAATTTTTGTGTCCTGCTGTAAAATCTATTCAATGGAATTGATATAATTTTGCCTAAAGTAGTCCATTGATTATCATATGTCTGTGCATTGAAATAAAGTTCAACCTTTATTTTTCTTATATATGGGGGGGGCATCCTAAACAGTGCTCAGAGAGCCCATGTGCCACTATAGTGCTCACGGATCCAAGGAGTACTGGGAGCTACCAGAGTCACATTCAGAAGTACTGTAAAGGGTCATATAATGTCAGCGTTCAAATCCAGGACACTATGCATGCAAAGTATCTACGCCTAATCATTAGTTATATCTGTCTCTATTTTGACTTTTTAAGTAATAGTTATAAGGGGCTGAAGAGACATTTTAAAGGGTTGGATCCGTGCACTCCAAACGTCCTAAATTTGATCTCTGGAATCTTTCGACCAGCTGCTTGGCATTGCTGAAGTGGGATCTGTGTCCACAGGATGTGAGCAGTACTCCATCACTTGGCCTGGACGTTAAAGTATCCAGCCACATACAGCTGGGTTGAAATATTGGGAGGTGCCCACATATTCCCTAACTTCTCTTTGGGAGACCCCCATTTCCTTTTAATT